CTGATCTCACAGATTCATTGCACACAAAGATGTCGCTATGAACTACGTCTTTACTGTACTAAGTCACAAACACGACTGGCGATAGGTTACAGTAGAGGGGGAAGATATGGAAGCGATGAGTCACAATACTTAACTGTTAGATATTTGAAAATTTGTGTGCAAGGAATCTGTGAGATCAATTGTGCCCGACAGAGGGTTAAGGAGCTTACTGCCTATATTTTCTTCTAGGAGTTTTATTATTTCAAGTTTTATGTTCAAGTTCTTGATCCATTTTTACTTGTTTTTGTGCATGGTGTAAGACAGTGGTCCAGTTTTATTCTTGTGCATGTTGCTGTTCAGTTTTCCCAACACCGTTTATCAAAGACACTGTCCTTTCCCAACTCTATATCTTTGGCTTCTTTATCATAAATTAATTGGCCATATATGTGTGGGTTTATTTCTGGGCTCTTTTTTCTGGTCCATTAACCTATGTGCATGGCTTATGCCAATACTGTACTGTCTTGATTATTACAGCTTTATGATATAGTTTGGAATTAAGAAATGTGATGCCTCCAGCTTTTTTATTCTTTCTCAAGATTGCTTTGGCTATTTAGGATTTTTGTGGTTCCATCATATGTTAGGACCCTTTGTTCTATTTCTGTGAAAATGCCACTAGAATTTTGCTGGAGATTTCATTGACTCTAGATTGCTTGGGGTAATATGAAAATTTTAAGAATATCAATTCTTCCATTTCCTGAGCATGGAATATCTTTATTTGTGTCTTCTTCAATTTCTTTCATCATTGTCTTATAGTTTGCAGTGTACAGGTCTTTCGCCTCCTTGGTTAAATTTATTCCTAGGTATATCATAGGTTTCACCCCGCTATCTGAAAATAGTGTTTTCTATGAAACCTTTCCTAAGCCAAAAATGACATAAAGCAGATTACCTCCTGCTTTCCCAAAATCACTTTATGTAACTTTACTTATACAAAAGACCTACATTAGTACCTGTTTTCAGTAACTGAAAAAAATCCAAAGAGGATTTTAGCTTTTTGAAAAAAGCTCTTACCATACTCGTGTTGGTCTCATAAAAACAAGTTGGTGTAACAATCTTTCAGAAAGTGCTTCTACCTGTGTTCTTTTCAATGTGGTTGTAAATGGGATGGTTTCTTAGTTCCTCTTTCTGATAGTTCATTAGCTATAATGTTTTTTTAGTATATCTCTTTGTATAGCTTTCTCAGTGGTTGCTCTAATTATTACATTATATATATATATATATATATATATATATATATATAATTTATTACAGTCTATAGGTGGGGTCATTTTACCAGTCCGAGTATAGAAAATTTACCTTCCTTTACATCTTTTTTTAGCTTCCCTCATATATTTGTCTTTATATTACCTCTACACACACTGAGAACCACATCAGACAGTGTTATACTTTTTGCTTCAACAGTAGAACATAGTTTAGAAAACTCAAGAGGAAAAGGAAAGCCTATTACATTTACTCGTATTTTGCTTATTGTGTTCTTTCTTCCTTCCCGATGTTCCAATATCCCTTCTTTTATTGCTTCCCTAATGTTTTTAGGACTGCCTTTTTCCATTCTTTTAGACTGGCTGTGATGGCAGCAGATACTTTCTTTTTCTTGAACTGAAAATATCTTCATGCCTTTATACCTGAAGGATATTTTCATTGGTGGTAGGATTCTGGGTTGGCAGTTATTTTCTTTCAGCATAGAACATATACTTTGTCACTTCCTCTGGCCACCATAGCTTTTAATGTGAAACATGCTGTCATTCTAATTGTTTACCTCTATAAATGAGATGTCAGTTTTCTCTGGTGGCTTTTAGGTTTTTCTTTATCCTTGGTTTTCAGAAGTTTAATTATGATGTATCTTGGTATGAATTTCTTTGAGTTTATTATGTTTGGAGTTCAGTCTGCTTCTTAAATCAGCACATTTTTGGGGGATTTTGTTTGTTGGTTTGTTTGTTTTTGACAAATTCAGAAGTATTCAGCCATTATTCCTCCAGGTACTATTTCAGCCCTCCTCCCTTTCTCATCTCCTTCCAGGATTCCAGGTTTTTTTGTTTGTTTATTTGTTTTTTAGTCTATTTTCTCCGTGCTGTTCAGATTGTGTAACTTCTATTGCTCTACGTCCCAGTTAACTAATTATTTTTTCAGCCCCCTCCATTCTGCTGTTGAGGCCATCTGCTGAGCTTTTTATTTTGGCTATTGTGTTAGTTGTAACATTCCCATTTGGTACTTCTTTGCATCTTCTGGTTTGTTTTTTTTGTTTTTGTTTTGTGTTTGTTTTAAGCATGTTCATAATGTTCATTGAAGATTTATTTTTATTATGCCTAGTTTAAAACCCTTGTCAGAAAACTCTAACATTTCTGTCATCTTAGCATTGGTGTATATTCATGATCTTTTTGTAATATATTTGAGATCTTCCAGATTCTTGGTATAAGTAATAATTAGATTGAAACTTGGGCATTTTCTTGTTATTTTCTGAGATATTTTTTATCTCATTTAAACCTGCAGTTTTAGTTGCCTTTCTCTCACATGCTGCCTCAGAAGTGGGGAGCATCCCCCTTCATTGCCAGGGGAAAGCAGAAATCTGGGTTTCCCACTCCCCTTACATTGACATTGAGAGTGGGGGACTCTTCATTACTGCTCGGTAGGCAGGACTCTTCCAACTCCTCACATGTTGCCTGTTGGTAGGGGGGCCTCGCTGCTGTTGATCAGTCGTGAAAGTCCTCTCTCTGTGTGTTATCGCCTCTGACAACCCCATTGGGGAGAGGGAAAGGTGTCTCATTACTGTTCATGGGGGTGGAAATCCAGGCTTCCACATGGTCTCCACTGACTCTGCGAGGGTGGAGCACCTTGCTCCCAGCCAGCAAAAAGGAAAGCCCTGCCTCCCTAGTGGTGTTCTCTGCTCTCACCCCAGTAAGGCTGGTAGGGGACCTCAGCACACCTTCATGAGGCTTTACATCTGGGACCCCATTCATTCTTTGCTAGTGTGGGGAGGTTGGGGTCACATTTCTCATGGTGTTTGGCAAGAGTGCAGATGATGTTGTCTAAAAGCTTTTTGTATTCTGAGGTTGACCCTTTCCTGACCCTTTGACTAGAGAAAGAGGCTTTCATTGGGGACTTTTACCCCTTTGATCTGCACCCATTGGCCTACCTGGTTGCTGGCCTCTTTGCCTCCAAGTTTAGGATATCTGATGAAAAGATAACCGAGGGAACTCACCGCTATGTTGCTTTATAGGCCTCGAAGCCCTAGCCAGTTGGCCTTCTGTTCTCCACCTTTCATAGTGTTGTTATGTTTGTTTTATATATAATGTCCTTTTGTTGTTGTTGTTGTACTTAATGGAAGAAATAGAGAAAAGTATGTCTAGAAATTTGAGAAAAACATTAGATCTCTGGTCTCTCCTGATGAGTTCTGTTACTTAATTTCAACATACACTTAAGGAAAATCTTTATAGCAAGATTTTAGCATGGTCTTCCTTAAACCAGTAGGATTAGTCTATATTTGTAAGGATACATATCATCCTATTTTAAACTAATAACAATTATACTACTTGTAACCATTATTTGTCAAGTAATCATTATTTTAACAAAAATTGAGTAATTATAATATGTTTAGAAAAACAACTATATTAAAATATACTTCAAATGTTTATAATTTTAATGTTCTTTCTATTATATATATATATATATATATATATATATATATATATATATATATATATATATCCCTTACATTATGTTCTTTTACAATTAAGTTACAGAAAACAAAATTATATAGTCACAAAATCTGAAATGTTTTCCAAAGGAAATCACAGTTCTTAGTAACTATACATATCTGTAGATTTTTCAAAGTAAAATATTGTTTTGTTTTAATTAATTCATTAAATATTTATTAAAAACATAGTATATGCCATTATGCTAGAGATAAAATGATGAGCAAAACATATATAGTTCCTGCCTCAATCAAACATAATGTTCTCCTACAATAAAATATCAAAATAAAAAATGAAATCAAATGTTCTGTGAAAGCATTTTATATGTTTTTATGAATAGTGCTGCTGAGGAAAATCAGAATATTATCTTTTGAGTATATTACTCCAAATACTACATAGAGAAAAACATACTTCTCAAGCAGTGGCATTTATCACCCATATTTATTGAAATTAAATTGAAAAAAATGATATTTAATGAATGCTTCATTGGTATGCAGTGAACATACTTCATTAGTTTCTGACATATGTGTTTCTCATGGATTTTTAATATTGGTTTAGAGTGTAACATGTTTAGGCAATGTTACCCAATGATGACCATGATTGTTAATGGTTTATATTAGCTGAAAGCCATAAAATCATCCAAGGACTCTGTTAGCATTATAAGAATAATTTACCAAGACAATTACCACATACTGGAATTTTTTGCAGCTCTAATTCAGTATTATTAATAATGGATAAAATTGCACTTTTCTCAGGTTGCTATGAGCAGCAGGGAATTATTTCAATGAATATTTCAGCACATTATTTTAATCATTGTACCACCAAACCTAAGTGGGCAATATTTTATAGTTCTTAATTCAGTCTACTAAGGAACCATGGTCATTAAATTGCAAACTATTTGCAGTGAGGTCTGTCCTGTGATTTACAAGCCTTGTTAAAAACAGTGTAAAAGAATGCAAACTGTGCCATTAATACTTGTAATTTGATGCTGCATTTGTTACTAAACGCCCATGATTAATGATTTTTTTTTAGTAGAAGGAAGAACATTATAAAGAAAGCAGAGCTGAGTGTTACAATGCCTAAAATCTGAGAATGTTACTATTTTAAGTTTTATTCATTTGTAAACATGTATACAAATACAATTGTAAAATATATCTCAAAAAGTATTTTAATTTTCCATTGAGCACAAAGAAATATTTTATAAAAAAAAGTGTATTTTACAGTTATACATTGTTGGTAATATTGATCATTGCTCCTTCTTTTTCCCATTCTTAGCCAATTGCATGATTTCTGGCGTTTGGATTACTGGGAAGATGATCTGCGTCGAAGGAGACGATTTGTTCGGAATGCATTTGGCTCCACTCATGCTGAAGCATTGCTCAAAGCTGCCATAGAGTACGGTTAGTAACAGCGCCTCTTACACAAAAATATTTGTCATGTAAGGTGACTCTGTGTAGTTTGATAATTCATTTCTTTCGCTAGCATTTAAAATTCTCCGTGTCTTAAGTCAACCGTATTATGTTCTGCTTTATCGTTCAGCATCATTTAGGCTACACTTAATCAACGTAATATTTCCCCCACTTGATGTATTTTAGATCCTTCAACTTCTTTTTAAGAGATCGAAAGACTCTATATAGTAGGTTATTACTCAATGTCCTTCTCATAAAGTCTAAAACAAGAGTTAAATCAGTTTCTTTTTCAGTGTCTTTTGAATTTTGGTGACCAAGACCCAAGGTGAAAAAAATATACACTGTTGGTAATTGTGTACTCACACTGATATATTTTTATCTATAATGTGTGTGTATGTACACACACACATATGTATACTGTGTCAATATACATATAAATAATATACATGTATATTATTTGCATATTACATATGTACATGTACATACTTGTACATTTTACTGAACCAAATGTCTTATTAATAATCTCATTATATGGAATTCTCTATTTTAATCCTATTCTATTTTATTCAGTCTAAAAAAATAAAATAAATCTTGCTACAATATGCCCATTTAAGTCCCAGTCCTCCAGTGGGTTGTAAATAAAGCCTGACAAAAAAATCCCACATTAAAGATATCATTAACTATTACACTACATACAGTATAACTAACTGTACCCTAAATTGTCCTTTATAAATGTATAGTAAAAATTAAATACAGAATATTTTTATAATATAGTAAAAGTACTGCTACTTTATATCGCTCTCTACCAAGTATGCATAGGAGTACTTTGTCTATTTACCCATTTTTATTTTATTTTATTTTATTTTATTTATTTATTTATTTATTTATTTTTAAAGTGGTGAAAGAGAAGTTTATTAGAAGACATAGCACATTCCAAAGAGCTAAGGAGCGGGCCCAAGCACAAGAAGCGGCTCAAAAGCCAACCCATTTTTAAATGCTCTAACAAATTAAGTTTGATTGATTATACCAGAAATTTATAAGCTGTATACACTTAGAAAAAAACACTAATGAATACTGTTCACATATTTTTGTTAGGAATTACTTTTGTTCTTAGAATTCATTGTGTTTTTATGTTGATTTTCATTCATTTGAGAGTAATAAGTGAGCCATTTGTTTCAAAATTTACCACAGTTTATAACATAATAATACCACCCATGTTCTTGATTTATTGAACAGAGAAAGTATTTAATTCTAATACAAAGAAAATGTGCAAAGCTTTGAAAATTTGTTTTGCAAATAGTATGTGAATTGATTTAACTTAGTAAGGCTCAAAATATAATTAAATAAATAACTATGTACAAGTATAGTGCCAAGTGTGTACTAGACTAGTAAAGGGGATCACTTCATAAAATATATGAATGTCTAACCACTGTGCTGTACACCTGAAACTAATATAAAGTAATGCTGAAAGTCAACTGTAATTGAAAAATTTTAAAAATAAATAAAAATAAATACATGAGGATTTCACATAAAACTATTATACCTAAGATAATAACTTTATAAAGTAAAAGTAATTATAAGAAAGAATATGTGACAAAAATTATAATTGGCCTATACTGTAAGTGATTAATGAACTCAAAAAATTACCTAAGGATTTTAGCACTTCAGGATTTAGCATGAACTTAAAATAAGATACTATTTTTATGCTCTATAGAAGAGATTCTTAGAATTATCTACTTAAAGTGACGTCTTTATAAAATGAACTTAAAATTACTAAAACTGTATTTCATATACCCAACAATTTAGAATTTTTCACCAATTCACCTTGAATTCATCTCATTTGAAATTAGAAACATCTAGAAACAACTTGTGACAAAGGTTATGCTAGAGTGATATTATTGGTGATACTGAATTGCCAAAGCTTTAATTTTACCTATGTAATTGTACTATTACATTGTATTACTACATTAAGCATTCTACAGGTTGCTTTAAAAAAGGGCCTGTTAGAAAAATACTTCTTTTGGTTCTGTATAAAAGTGGATACTTTATGTTGTGTGTTTAATTTATAAAATATCTCTATGACTGAACAAGTGTTAAAGCATATCAGAAATCAATTTTAATTTTTTTTACCTTAAAATCTTTTTAAGACTGATAGTCATATTTTAGTATCATAGTAACTATTGTTAATGAACCTAACTGAAAAACAATACTCTATTTTTGAAATTGATAAAGGAAGGATGTAGGTGATACTAACTATCCTCTGTATATAGTGCAAGTGTATTTTAAAATGTGTAGTGTTTTGTAAATTTTAAATACTGGATCATCAGCATTATCAGAACCAATTATTCCTCTTGAGTGTTGGGGTTTTTGATAAATGGAAAGAGGAGTTTGTTTTTATTTTATTCATATCCAGAACAAAGACCACAAGCATGCCATAAAATATTCAGGAAATCTACATGGTATTTAGGCCAGAGTTACTCTATGGTCATTCTCAGGGTTAAGGCCATGCTGTGGAAGACAAAAGAGAAGTGAAACAATTCTCCCAAAACAATCCTAGAGCACACCACTTCAACTTTTATCACCATTCACATCTATGGACTTTTGAAAGTGAGTAGAATGTGGGGAGTAAAATATGCAGGATGTGAAGAGGGTGAGTGGAAAGTATTTCCTGGCGTGATCCGTCCATAGAAATGGGAGGAGGAACTGGAAACTGCTAAGAGAAGAATGTAGTATTGTACCTTCTTACAAACTCGAAATGCGCCTTCTACCTATATACAAAGTATTTTTTCAGAATAAATAGGAAGTAAGTGTCAGTAATTATTATAAAGTACTTCATCCAATAAAAGTAGATGCTGAAAACTTAATTGAAAACATATCTTGTATATTTTAAAGAAAGCTTTGTATTCACATATTGCCACAACATTCATATAAAAGTAAAAAAGCTCAGCACATCATCTGGCCACTCTTCCTGCCATCAAACATTTGAACGTGTTTGAGTACTTTAAAGTCTGGCATGGTGTGGACTAACATCCAATTGACTAAATGTTTTGATTTGTGTAGACATAGATAGGTAAAGGGTATATTTATAGCACAAACCTACACATTTTGAAGGAGCTTCTAGAACAAATTGAAATTTAATTTATTCCTTCTTCTGTATTAAATACTTACAGTATTTTGGTTTCCCTGTAAATTCTATCTTGAAAGTTAAGCACTAAATGCACAGAAACTCTACTGTAATTTTTGGTCAAAAAAAAATTTTTTTTTTTAAGATTTTTATTGGGGAATTGGAGGATAGGAACAGCGCTGGGGAATTGGGGGAAGGGGAACACACAAGTTGCTGTCCTTTTATTCTTCAGTCTAGTTCTGGAGGACGTTGCTTCACTGGCCCAAGTTGGCACCATCATTGCGCTCTTCCCTGGCGAGGCAGATCAGTCGCCGGCCTCTGGACGGCTGCTCACTGCGGCTGCTGGCTGCTCACGCTGGCTGCTGGCTACACACGGTAGCCCATGGCAACCCACTGCAACAGGGGCTGCAGCCTACGCCGTCGCCGGCGACTCACAGCATCCCAGCTCCAGGTTGAGCTGTTGTTCAGCATCTTAGCTGTAGAGAGCAGTGTCACTGACCCTCATATGTGAGATCCGAACCGGACCCTCTGGTGTCCCAAGCCAGCTCTTAACCAACGTGTCACTTGGCCGGCCCCCAAAAATTTTTTTATATTCATCTCCATTGTGGCAAAAATTGTTTTAGGAACAAAAGAATATTGTATCAATAGAACTTTCAGTATAGTTAGAAGTATTTGAATCAGTGATCAAAGTGTTCAGAATTTTAAACAAGTAGTACAAGCTGAGGGAATAACCTTAAATTACTTAAAAAAGGAATATTTACATGACCATCAAAGCAATCCCTTATATTTGAACACTAGTCAGGTCTCTCTGTTCCTGTAGACAATATGTTTCAAGAATGTGAGCCTATATGAATGTAATATAAGTGAAACTCAATCAGCAGACTTAATGTTTTAATAAAAATGTTTTGAATCACTTGATTTCTCCTAAATTCAGACATTTTAGATTAGATGTTAGTTGAATTTTCATGTGATGGGCCGATATGATTAGCCATAATTTGGGTTTCTTGACATTCTCTTCAGGCAATTTATTTGGAGCCACAAAATAAGTATATTAGCAATGCTTTCTTTTAAATGAACAAATAATTAGAATTGGATACATTTTCAAGGAGGCATAAAGAACAATATTTTATTTCATATTTACTTTGAAAAGCTTTCCCTTCAATTTCATTATTAAAACTTTTGGTTGACCTTTTTCGGTTAGAAAATATCCTTAACACTGATGGAGTTTTTCATGCTTCTTAGTAATACTAATGAGTTGAATAATTTATGAGGTTGTCATGTGCAAAAGATTTGGCATTGATTTGATACATTTTCAGCCTCTGGTGTTGGAATATGATTAATAAAAACCTAGAAGCATGTAATTTTTTTCCTGGTGTTTAACGTTCTAATGTTGTATGTATTCAATATGTTATTTAGGTGTTTTCTAATAGTAAGATCTCATACAAGTGCAAATTTAATTGATTACCAGGGATTTTACAGACCATAGCAATGAAGACTATAAGGAGAATGTTTTAAGGCTCATAAACTCATCTTCTGGCCTGTAAAGTTTTTTCTTCAGGGCAAAATGACTAATAAGGAAATGACTGGAAAAGGAGGGTTTTGTATGTTGTTTGTATGTTTAAATAAAACCTGTGCTAGTGAACTTCTGGTATGTTCCTGGTGCTTAAAGATTATACTGTCAAAGAATGGTACAAAATCTTAATAAGTTTGCTTTTCTTTGTTGACTGTCAATTACCATTTAGGACTCTGTTTCCCTTCCATAAAATTACAGTGGAACAATGTTTCATCAAAGCCTAAGAGCACAACCCCCTCCCCACACGTTATGTCTGTGATCAAAGACATCATCTTAAATAGGTCTGATCCCCTG